TGTATAAGTTTTTGTAGATTCCCATACAATTAATATTAATTTATGTTTATGTACGTACATGGGAATTCATAAATTCGAAGCGAATGCGAAGAAAAAGGAGATTCTGCTCAAATTTCAGATGATGCAGAATTCACATGTGATTATTTCCATGAGCTTTGCCAAACAACCCTGTTTTCAAAACGTAGATTATATACATATAGTCGGACAAAACAAAACAACAAAGATGAGAACACTGAAGTTTGACGTCATTTTAAACTAGCAAGTGTAGTGCAAATGAATGGAGTACGCGCATGTGTTGCTTCACCCGCTGGTTCTCCCGCTAATACCTTTGTGAGTGTGATGTATTCACTTCGATACTCTATAGGAAGCTACATGTACATGAAGTCTGGCTCTGTTTTAATGTCACCATACCAACAGCAAAAGTTGTACCACAAGTTTCCCCATTGTAACTCCTGAAAGTATCATGATTTCGTTTTATGAACTTCACAACCTTTTGAAGACTTCGGATGAAAATAAAAATAGCTTCTCTTTATAGCCTCTGACTGCTTAAGTTCAATGCAGGGAAATGTAAAACAATGCACTTGGGAAGGAATAATCCAGAAGTAGAGTAGACTACTACATGGACGGAGTGAAACTGGAAACCATTGATCAGGAAAAAGATTTAGGAGTGTTTATCACCAACAACTGCATGTCAAATGTCCAATGTACTAAAGCAGCACAGAAAGCAATGTAGGGTTCAAGAGTGATCAAAAGATTGTTTAAGCATTTCAACAAGGATAGTTTTGCAGTACTTTACAAGACATACATAAGACCTCACCTGGAATGTAGCATACAAGCCTGGAACCCATCATTAAAGAAAGATATTGCAACACTTAGTAAGGTCCAAAGACGAGAAATTAAGTTGGTACCGTATCTGAACTAAGACATCTTAGCTACACTGAGAGACTGGAAGAATTAAACTTGTACCGCCTGGAGTGACACAGGACAAGGGGAGACCTCATCAAAACTTACAAGATCCTACACGGATTTGAGAGAACGGGTCAGAAAAGATTCTTCCAGTTGGCCTCTACAAACACAAGAGGCCACAGTCTCAAACTCTACAAACCACGGCTCAACAAGGCACTAAAATGTAGGCAGGAATTTCTTCTCTCACAAAGGGGCATCAATGATTGGAATAGTCTCCCACCCTACATTACAAACGCCAAAAATACCAACTCCTTTAAGATTGAGCTTGACAAGCACTGGAAAGAAATAGGGTTTATAAAGGTCAGGTCCTAATTACTCCCATTAAACTGTAGGTGTAAGCTTCAATGAAAATACTGATCTTGTACTGTAAGGCAGAAGCGGCTGAGTGACTTGTGGTTATAGTTTACCACATGCAGCAATGACAGTCATATTTTCTTAATAGGTTTATACATGTAATTTACATGTCCTGCTTGATAAGTACACTTTACTGCCTGATGTCCATGACTTGTAATAAAGATCACACTGTTTTTGGTGTTTTGGGCACACATTTTCTGGACGAAACATGTTTTCTGGATGCAACGATACATCCATTTTAATACAAGCTTTATGATTCACACTCTTACTTTTAACCACTTCCTGCCAGGGTGCCCGGTTTCGGACACCATATGTTTACACGCAGAGCCGGGGTGCCCGGTTTAGGACAAAGAGCTGGTTTGGGTAACAAAAGACTGTACTCGGAACAAAGGACCTGCTGCTGGGAATCGCCATCATTTTCGACTTCCATTATTCGAAGGTAATCCAACACTGTTTTGAATGTTCAGTATACCACTGTTTTGGGCATAGCACACCCGCGGATTAGCACCATGGACAAAAGTGCCCCAGGGCCCCACTGATGAGCAACACAGCACCACTGCTCGCTTTTCCAGCCGCGTATGAAAAGATGCTACTGGCATTCACTGGAACAAAGGAAATTACGCAACATCTCACAATTCTGGGTTCTCTTTTACAGGGCTGCAGGCCTGGGCTGAATACTTGGGCGTCAATAAAGGTTGCCTGTCAGATTAGAGTAGCCACCAGACATTTGTTAGTGTGGGTGTAAACGCCCAGTAAATGAAAACATGAATTTTTGAAGAAGTTTGAAAAAGGAACATCTTAAAAAAGTCCCGTCATCTCGTCCCGCTCAACAAAAATCCACCCGGCAGGTAGTGGTTAACACCCAAGTTACTTTCGATTCTGTTTTGTGTTTAAGGCTTTTAATTTACTGGGAATTAGTAACAAGTTGTAGCATGTGGGTATCATGGTACAGACTAAACTGCCCCTCCTGTTTTCCCTTGTGTCCTTGTACATGTATCTCAATGAAATGAAGATTCAAGTTTTATTCAGTCTCAAATCTATTGCCAATATTGGAGGTATATTGGAGGTGTATGGCTGCATACATTGTAATTAACCCCCGTTACAAGGCTCTTTTCATTTGCAATAACAAGAGTCAGCTGCATTGCCTTGGCAACCATGGTAGACCTATCTGTCCACTGTTTTCTCATGCCCCAGTCCTCTCAATATTGAACAGATTTTTGTTAGTGCTGTCTGAGTTAACCACACATACATAAGATTTTGTTGGCATGAGCCACAAATCCAAACCGCTCCTCCAGCCACGGATGCTCTCATACACTACCGGTACCTCTCATCGCATTTTTTCAAAACCGCTAATAGGTCATTTGAAACACTAACTTGCATCTTCAAATTTATACAAATGATTATTTGGGGACAATTAGGCAGACTGTGAACATTTTGCAGGCATATTAGTTGCCTACCAGTGCGAATTAAATGGAGTCATAATCATTTAAACACTTCAACTGTGTCCTATCTACCAGATTTCAATCCCTTCATCCACCATAAATAATCAGTATGTTGGCTGCATCAACAGTATACAACTTCTTATTTGTGTACACCATAACAGACTGATTGGGCCCCCTACAGTATGTCATGTGGCCTATATGTCCTGAGCTAAAGTGCACAGTCCTGAGCTGAAGAAACACAGATGGCACTAAGTTTTCCAACCGGATTTTTGCATGTGTTCAGCATGCATGCGAAGACCATATAATCCAGACTAAATTCACTGTGCATACTCAGCCTGCTCCGCATCAAACACGCATAAACTCGTGCCCCTATGCGGTGCTTGCCTATCAAACGACTGCCAATTACATTTAAAAACATGCTCTCTTTTGTTCCTGCTCGGAGTGGATAGAGTACCAAATGGTAACATCATTTTGACCCAGGAAGAGTGGTGCTCACGAAAGGAGTAAACACGTTCTTGTCCTAATGCCTTTTACACATGTACATGTAACTGTGTGCATGTGGTATTCACTTGGGTACCCTTATAGTGGGTGTTGAAAATCAACACTCATGGTATCCTCCCATAGCAAACTGCAGTTTAATTGTTATTTAACAAAATTTAAGCCAAGTTTCGGTACAGCACTCAGCACACCAGTGGTCGTTTGAGTTCTGTACCAACCATCAGCTTTATTTCTGGTAACTAATACTTCTGATACGCTTTGCTACGGGAGATTGCCACGTTTGTTCATGATTGATACCCACTATAGGTTACGAGACTTACATGTATTAGGGGCACTATTGGAACTTATGTCAAAGGTCAAACAGCCCACAAAGCAGCTAAACTTTTCTTGAACGTCACAGTCACGCAGACATCCCAAAGTTGTCGTCATCGGCATTTTAGACTGAGGATTCTGTAAAAGCGCTTGGTGAAAATGTGATAGTTCAATTTGTAAAAACATAATGGTTTGTGGTCTTTTCTTGCACTTGTTTCAAACTTGTGCTGCACATATTTTAGTATACTAGCTGGTTTTCAATTGTTGACATTTTGAAGGAATTTAATGATGCTCACAACTGCCAACTACAGGACCAGATATCTGAGCTAAGACACTCACTTTCATTTTGTGATTATGTTTTTGTCACCAGTTCCAAATCTCCTCAAAGATTAGGGTGTCATTCATTTACTTCCTGTTAATTATTAGGTGGCTAAGATTTATAGGGTGTTCATATCTGTCAAAAGTGCTGATGTACCGGTAAAAGGCTAATTATTCAACTCTGATCAAGATGGAGGTTGAGTACGGCCATTAATGCTCTAGACATCAGTCATGACTACCCTCATTTCATCAGACATTGTGATTTCACTTAATGCTGTTCACTTCATGAAATAACAACCCCAACAAATCACGATTTATAAATACCTTGGACAGTTTTTCTGATCCTATTGGTCGAAATACAGAATGTGACCGTGTATTAACATTTGATAATGCCTGCTGAGAAGTTATAATGTCTGCTATGTAAATCACGCGCTAGCACATGGATATGAGACAGTTTAATCAGATCTGAGTGATTGATCAGGAGTCTGTGTGCACGTCATGCGCCATGCGCATCAGGTTCATTAGAGGGGATTCTATTGGACAATACTCAAAAAGAATATACCATAAAATGGATGGGGGTGTTCAGGAAAATGAAAAAAAGATTTTGAAACAAAACATGGGAAATCCATCATATGCTGACTTCTTTTGACTCTCTGAATAAAATGGACGGGGGTGTTCAGGAAAATGAAAGAAAAATTTTGAAACAAAACATGGGAAATCCATCATATGCTGACTTCTTTTGAATCTCTGAATAAAAAAGGTATTTATGAATGGGAATGAATATGTGCTTCGCCGGTCTGAAACTAACATTTAAGATCTTGTTCAGGAGAACGAACGCTAACAATGCCCTCATCTGCGGCTCTGGCATTAGCCGTGTCCATTCTCCTGAACCGGTCTGAAATGCACAACCAGCCAAGCACATATTTATTCCCTTGTTAACAAAGGGCCACCATTTTGCAGAACATGTCTTAATTTCTGGTGGCCTATGTGAAGTTTACGAAATGATGGACGGATGAATTGATTTTGCAATAATTTGTGATCTTACAGCACTAGGAACTGGTGAAAGAAAATTAAATCATTATGAAACTAAATTTGTTAGAAAACCCTTACCTTCAAAACTCTTGGACGTTCCAGCACACCGGAACAAGATATCAGTATCTCACAGCTGACTTAGCTTCGTAAAGTTGCAACTGGTATCTTGGTCAGTACCATTTATGGTCTAGATTCCTACATTGTAGGCTACATGACCAGCATCAGGCTGTGTACAATATTTCCTACAACTATTCCTAACTTCCAATGAGATGAAGTCTTCAGCTGTCATCATATTTTGAGTCCATATCCCTACAAAGATAAACAACAAAAGACCAGGACATACAAGTAAATGACTGGTCTGCAATGAATTATCTTTAAGAATTTCACCAAGTCACCATTTCTATAGACTACAGCCATTTCTTGTGTCAGTACAAAATTAAGTAGCATCATTTGGTCCAACTAATTCATTGAAAATAAGAGTTGTAATTAATGAACAAGTGTACGTCTTCACAACTCAGTACCAAAATTGGTCAGAATTTAAAATTTTCTAGCAAACAAATAAAACGCCCACCAAAAATAAACGTTCAATCCTTCGGTTTCATAAAGGGAAAAAACCTTCCCAGGCTGAGTGAATAAACATAACTGACAAAAGCAAAAAACAATTAAATCATGTGTATCGAATGCAAAATATCAGAGCAATGAAAACAACATTTAAACTCTGGAGCATCTTGTGGAAACATAGTCCGAGTAACATGAACTCTGCAAATCGCCTCTTGTAATGTTTGGACATGGTCAGGTAATTTATAATGTCCTTGTTACACAGACTAGTCAAAACTATGTCACAGCGAGAGTGTAAAATGAACTAAACAGTGATCTGCCATGATAAAATTTAAGTACCCTAAAACACAAATTGCCTATGTTTAGTATAATACATGTGCACGCATATCAAACAGTCAGGGATTGTAAATTCGGGGCCCCATTCCTACATCATTACATGGTATAATAGAAGGGAGACTAGACCTACATGTACATATCGTAGTCTTTTTAACTTTTGGATTCAATTGGTAGACTATAGATGACTTTGACATCATGCTCAATAACTGTAGGAGTGATGTTGTGAAAAGGGGGCAGAGTTTTTGGTTTTGAGGGATATTATGAGGAGAAATTTTGAATGTTTTAACACATGAAACGCGGAGTATTCAAATTTGCATTGCTGGTTTATAAGTAAGAAGTTGAGTCACATTTTCTCTTTATTCCAGTTTCCAGAAAATAGGGTCAGCGTAATAAAGAGAGCGTTACCTTTGGTTTAGGGGGGACTGACCAGTTTTACAAGATTAAAATGACAAGAAATAGGGTCCCCATCCCCGATACAATCAGATAGTCAGGTAACTTAGTGGTGGGCCAACTGCCTCAGTTATTCCTAAATCCAGCGCTCCGGTAATGTCAATTCACAATTGTACACAACAAAATTTGCATTTTCATGTAGGCCTATACACAATATACACAATTGTATAAGCAGCTGGGCGCAGAAGAGAAAAAAATAATACGGCCTTGAAAATTGACACATATTTACATCATTTTCAAGGTGAAATTCGTTCCTTAGTTCGCTTTCTTCCAGCTGGCGAAAACCTCACGCTGCATGCTAAAAATTGAATGCTGACAGTGTTTAACGCCCTCTCGCGGTATAGGGTTATTGCGTGCGCGCACTTCGTCTCCGCTTAATTACTGCTGCGCCTGATTTGGCCTGACTTTGAAGTTATTATATTAATTATTTGAATTACGTACCAGCAACGTATATTTCGAAACATAACACTGCTAGCCTAAAAGATGGGAATACTAATTTCACAGACAAAGCTTGAGAAGCCGGTGGGCATACGCCAAGAATCCCCAGTACTACGCCGATCGATGATGTGCTGTCGATAGATGATGTCGCCAGTCTGTTAGTGAGAAACGATATGATGCAATAAAATCGACCCCAAAATTGTCTGCTCTTAAATGATGATATTATTCGGGCATTTGGCATAATTAATTGGACGGTGTGTATAGTCCTGAAAAGTCATTCAGCCAATGACGAAACGAGGTCGCGTTTGTGCACGTGTACGTGTACGTGTGTGCCCGGCCCGTGCCCAAAAAATTCCCCGAAACTTTTGTCCAATCAGCGTAAAGATATTTCTACGCATGGGCAGTACGCAGCGCTTGAAGGGTAGTCCGTATGACTGCTGCACTAGTCTTGGCGATGCAGCACGTACCAGACAAGAGTGCATAACGGTGGATAACATTCAAAAAGTAACATTTGTTTTATTTTCGTATCCGCTGGACTTTTTTATCCGTGGGCTTTTTTTCCTGTACAACTTATGATATTTTAATGACCGAGTAGATAACCCAAAGATCTTTTCTATAGTGGCCACTTGCAGTCTTACATTAGCGTTATTAGGCGTTCATGTGTTTGCAAAACTCACTGAGTTTACCACCAGAAGAATACATGCATAATAAACTCAAACAGTAAAAGTGAAACACTTAAGAAAGGTAGAGAAAACAAATAGTACAAAGAAAGCCATGAACAATTTACATCGGTAGTTCAGATGATTGTACTTCTGAAATACTTTGGATGAAGCTGTCTCTATTTGGCATTTCTTTGGACAAAGTACTTTTTTGCAATGCTTCACAGATGAATGGAAGAGTCCACTTATTTTGTTTGTTTTGTTTGTTTTTGTTTTGTTTTTTTTTATGGGAAGTTTAAAGATAGAACATATGCTCAGGAAAATTATACAGCAGGCAGTTGAAATATTGACGCACTCGATTAAATCTTCAGATTTTTCTTTCCACCTAAATGAGCTGCAGTTTCACTTACCGGGTCATTTTCAGGGCAGTAGGATAAAGTACTTGCAGGGTACGGAAAGCCATTAGGTGTCAAGCTACATCGTTGAAACGTCAAGTGGTAAGCCTAACTCTGAAAAAAAAAATGGCACAAGCTTAGAGCTGTTGGATAGTCTCCCAAATATTTATTCTAAAGTAATCAGCATAAAATACAAATGTTTGTTGCCTCCATCGATATAATTATACACCCGATATACAAATATATACATGTATATGTACTCGTGTTTTGTCAAGAACGCATGTCATCAGCCATCGATTCAAAGAAGTTGTACATTATTCAGAGTATATATGCAAATTAGAGATTTGCCCAGGATTTAAAAATTGCTGATTGGCTGCACCAGGTGGGAATATGAACTCCATCATTGTGGCGGTCTTGCATACGCTTAACAGAACAATCAGTAATTGTTTGTTGGAATGTGGGGTTCTTGCCGACTCCGTACTGCCTTACCGTGTACATGGTGCATGCTGGAAGCGGCTCTCGAGTAAAAAAAAATGGCGGTGTTGCACGAATATCTTCAAAAAACATGACTGTATTTTCTTCACAACCGACTGAAGCGGGGTCCTAATTTACTCCTCCAACATACGCAGAAAGTCTTGAAGAAATGAGGTAGGTGTTGCAAACTTGTGGACTACTTAGTTTAGTCAATTTAGGAGTAGCAGTGTTGGATTGTTGTGGTAAGTTGGAGACAAGTTGGAGACGGAAACTGATTAATGCCATGCTAGGCCTATTTTCCAGACGAGGCCTGTACTGTTTTAAATAAGGCCAATCGGTCATACTTTCACATTTATTACCTTTTTTCCTTCCAATTATAGATCAAGAAGAGAGTTAAGTTGTAAAATTGAAAAGTGCATGGCAACAGTGCATCTGCGTGTGAATTTTTGCAGCAACAGGGAGAAGCAAGATGAGACGAAATGGAGGGATTCCCGATAACTTCTGGGAAAAAAAGGTTAGCTTTGAGGACGACTCACACACGGATACTGGGTATTGCATGCTTGGGGCCCCCCATTTTTTTGTCATTTTAATCTTGAAAACTGGTAAGTCCCCTAAAAAACAAAGGCAAAACTCCTTTTATTGTGCTGCCCCTACTTTTGGGAAATATCAAATCGTAAATTGTGAGAAAATGAAACTTTCTTACTGATAAACTAGCCACGCAAATTTGAATCCACCATGTGTCATGTGTTAAAACACTCACAGTTTCCCCCGCATAAAAATTCCCTCAAAACTCAAAACCCTGCCCTTTTTTGAGATCAACCCTAAAGTTATTGAGCATGATGTCACAATCATCTACCAAGGTCAATTCAAAAGTTAAAATGTAGCTCTCTTTCCTACTATAGGAACAGGGTTCCCACATTTACAAACCCCAGGATGTTTACTATTTATCATAGCATACAAACACCTGTTTGTCTATACTGCAGTAAAAAATATATTGACTTTTGTTAAAAAACTGTGGGCAAATGGTGGCATAGCCTAGCCCCACAACATGGCTCATATATTGGACTAACATGCGTGACCGTATAGTGGCCACATCCCTTATTTCACCACTTACTGTGAAAACCGATCAGACTTACCAATAGGTGGCAAAATGATTGACCTGGCGCCTATACCGTCATGTTAGGCTACTTCTGTATGTTGTTTTGATGGTGAAAGTAGCTTGGAGATGAAGACGGCTCTTAGCATGTGAGTTCAGAATTTATGAGTCCTTTTTTAGTAGTCATCCAACCTCTGCCAAATCCAGGAAGACGTGAAATCTCTAGAAAACTTTTTAAAGTGGACAGTATCAGACAATAGCAATAGGTCATAGTAATCCTTTGTGATGCTAAATGAAGTGTTTGTGCAACAAACAAGGGGGCTCTTGTAAGAAAACACTGGGGGTGTGAATACCCCATACACCCTCTGAATGCTACACCACCAACAAAATCATCCAAAAGGGGTCATTTTAAAAGGCCAATGGATGCAAGATGCCCTGATGATCAGAATGAAGTGGAAGAAAGTGCACATACAGTGAAACAATGTACAGAAAAACAGTGGTATAGTGAAAATGGCCTCTCAGACCCAAATTGTTGCCTTAAAGAATGGAGGAGTCTTTGATTTTAACGAATGAACAAATATTCAGACAATATTGAATGACTGATGGATGCTGACAAAGATGAGAATGGTGATAGACATCACATTCTAAATGATACACAACTGCTCTTGTCGGTTTTTACATTTGACTCTGTACATGCTGCTGCTCAGATTTGAAGCCGCTCAACAAATCCAGAGATAGGTCAATTCCAACTGTTTATTTTTGCTTGTACAAGCCACACCCAACACACATAATCTGCATGTTTACTGGGTGTTCCATTGCAAAAAAGGAACATAGCCGTTATTAAATTTCTGTAATGCTTCTGCCTTGAATTTCACTCTGGTAAAAGCTAATTGAATGCAAGCTGAAAGTGCTTGTACATTTGGCTCATGAAAATGGCCACAAGAACACGGTCTTGGCAATTGTCTGAAGCAATATTATGGTAATCATCAGATCTGTCATCTTAAAACCATTTATTGCTGATGGCCAGCAGTGCTTTTACCTGCCAAAATAGAGGTAAGATTTATTTGTCTCTAATCTTACCACAGACGGTTACAGAATGTGAAAACTATTAAGATCCAGTTGGGGCTACAGAGATGTTTTGCTAGTCTGACAGTGGAGTTTCTGATAACAATCCTTATCATCTTCCATCTTATATCCTAATCATGGCACCAATCCAGTCCATTTCCATGTAGGTTGTTTCTTTGACTCGTGTTTTTATATGGCAGAGATATGTCCACTATTCGGGGGCTTTTTGGGGGGCCAAAGTATTACACCGAAAATGAAATTACATTTCGAGCATGTCATTGTATGCGTAATCAGTCACAAGTACGAGCAAGCAATTCACGTTTTGATTTTTTTGTGGGGATCATTTTAAATTGCTCAATTTCTATTCAAGTTGGATTTTACATCTCTCCACTATGTGCCCACATTTGTGTTGCAATTTGTTGTTACAATTATACAAATATTGCAGAGAGAACTGTGATGAGTGTAAGCCATGTTATCTCTCTCTCCCTGCGTAATTCATGCGGTTGATTCATGTACACAATTTCATTCACCCCAGTATTCACAGAATCGCCTCACATGTAGTGTATGCATGCAAGCCATGTGAACTAGTGTTGTACCTCTGCCTCACTTTCAAGTGGAATCTTTCATTATGTTGAGCAGTAAAGCTTTTTTTTTCTTTGTGAGTCGGTTACACTCCAAAGATTTGTTCTCATGCAAAAGGACTGCATTTTAATGGGAAGTCATGATGAAATTTTATTGTCACTGCTGGCAAAGATGAGTTTGTTTTGCTGTCGTCCCCCAGTAAAGGAATTAAATGGTTAGATTTGGGAAGCATTTATATTGCTTGGATACTCGGGTACAGTCATTTGAATATGTGCTGGTACATGTTCATTTGTCTTTGACAGGCCCATATCATGTACACCTGCTCTGTCTGGCCAGACTCCTCAAGTTTGCTTTATTGCCATAAATGCACTATAAATTTATGTTCATCATTCTTAAATAGCATGGTCTGTGTTGATCATTCTCAACAACAGGCCCAGTTTGCCTCTTTGCCCTCACCAAGTCTTATCACATTGTGACCTTATTTGTGTCAATTTATTTTGGCATTGGTGATCAACTAATGAATGTTTGCAATGTAAAACATTCATTATTTTCAATACAAGACCTGCATAAATCCTGAGTAAATCCCCTTCTGAATAAATATGTGCACATCCGCAAAGAAAAGTTCAGAAATTTCATATGATCACAAAAAAAGAATGATCTGCATACTATAGTATCATATTTGTGATTGAGAGGTTCAATCATACTGTGCATAGGACAAATACGTGTCATTTAATGACATTTGATTGAAAACCCACAAATAAGATTACAAGGACTTGTTCAGGTGTTGTATTGTTGAACCTAACCCTTTTGGACCCTTCAAAATCCACTTAAGAATATTTTAGATTTTTCTTTTCCCACCAGTTTTGGAAAATCCATCCTGGTTTACTTTTTATAGACTTACTGTTCCTTAAAATTACAATGAACACACTACTAGGTTTATGTAGAGTACAGTGGAGGGTTCAAGAGGGAATATTCAGTTTCGATCCTGGGTGCACTTTTGGTACATGGTGGCATTGTTTTAAAACAAAGAAAAGTCAAGTCTCATTTTGACACATACCCTTAACAGAAATGCTTAATTTAGGAAGAAAATATGCTACAGAGTATGCAAAATCATCCATTTTGACACATTGTTTTCTTCCATAGTGTTTGGTGTGAACAACATCAAAATAAGCTCTCATTGCAAATTTGCATTAGTTTGTAACAAGTACATATACATTGTACATTCAAAATGGTGTCAAGTGTACCCACGGTTGAAGTTTTTCACAGGAGCATTCATAGAACTTTATAAATTGAGAATTTTGGGGGGGCTGTAACATTCTTGATGGGTCTTTTTCCAATGTTCAAAGGTTTATAGAGAAAGATACAATTTTCATTAATACTTATCTCATTGCAAAAACAAGCTTTTTTTGGGGGGGAGACCTTTCCAAGTGGTGTCTTTTGTTAAGCCTTGCAAGAAAAACATTGTTATTTCATCTGTGTTTCATGAGGGGAGCTAAATCACATCCACATTATCTACCAATTTTGTCTTGAAACACAGAGCATTTTTGTTTAGGATGGAAACTATTATCAACTGATTTTTTTTGGGGGGGGGAGCTGTAGATTAATATCAATAATATTAAGGCATTGGGACTTGCAAAGTGTCAGTTTTAAGCTGTATAGTATAGTCATACATCCAAATTAAAACTTTATGGGATATTCTGTTTATAGCTGATATTTTTTTGCTTTTCACTAGATGAGTTTTGTCAGAAACTTTTACCTAATCAGCTTCCATTCGATGTACTGTGCATGATATGCAAATAATGATTATTTACAAATGCAATGGTAAGAATAATTTCATGAAGTGACAGATGAAATGTTCTATTCTGCAAGGCAAAGCTGAGTGAAATAGAATAATTCATCTTTTATTCCATCATCGAATGAAAATATTCTTACTCTTGCAGGTACGTGAAGCATTCAGTATTTGTTTTATACAATACCTGCATAAATCCTCTTCTGTTAGAACAAATTAACTGTTCTAAGATACTGCTATTTAGTGAAACAGATTCATGTGGGACTATAGTTTCAGGTAATGCTTGACTGAATTAGTTTCCTCTCTCTTATGGTGAATGAAATATATGAGTGGAAACCAGTCAAGTGAAATGAAGTTCTGTTCAACGGACACCATTGAACAGAACAAATAATTCACTGACATGTGATCAACAATCCACCTATCAGAAGACGACGATCTATGCAGGCATTGTATAACACCCTGTAAGTTTTTTTTTTTACTGATTTATTTTATTTTGGTTAAATTTTAGTCTACTTTAAAATTAACAAGCAGAAGCCAAATTCAAAGTGAATTTGTTCTTCGTTGAATGTCAAATATGCCTTGCGAAGAGACAAATTTCATTTTGATTTTGAAAAAAGTCTTTATGCTGTATTCAAATAACGGAACAACCAAATGAGAGGCAGACACTCTTCAGCTGGTGTTAATGATTTGGAAAGCAGAAGCTAACCTGAGACCTGCAGTATTTGAATAGAGTGTAGATTTGTTTTTCTTAATTTCTGTTGCCCTATATTAAAAGGTCTCCAAAACAAACTGTTCTGTAAGGTAGGATTTTAGCAATTGATGACGGCCCTCATAGAGCAGTGTTACACAGACTTCAAGTATTGGAGCGAACAGCTTCCTTACAAGATGGTGATGACCGTCTTCAAAAAAGCTTGATGGGATTGTGAGAGAGAGAGAATTAAACCTGAGGTCTCTGATCCTTCTGGGTGATTTGCGGTTTGTT